TTGACCATCCATTCCATCCTTTTCCCAGAACACCATGCGTGTTTTTTGCCTCACTTTATACAACTTAAAAAGAGTCCTCTCGGATGCTCTTTCCAGGACAGAAAAATTCTGTTTCGGTGTCTCCTCACTGTAAATAGAAGAATTTGCAGCTTGTAAATGGCTGTTAGTTTTATTAAAATAGCTACTAAAACATGCAGTGTGTTTCTCTTGGCACGCACCCACCTGCCACGAGTTGGCTCTGAAAATGATTGCTGAATACAGAGACAGTCTCTGGGTGTCCTCGTGCCCTATGCTCAGTCTGACTGTCCTTTCTTTCCAGGTCCATATTCAAGCCTTTCATCTTTGTTGATGATGTAAAACTCGTTCCCAAAGCACAGTCTCCCTGTTTTGGGGACGATGACCCTGCTAAAAAGGAGCCTCGGTTCCAGGAGAAACCAGACCGCCGGCATGAGCTGTACAAGGCCCACGAGTGGGCACGTGCTGTCATCGAGAGTGACCAGGTGAGCCTGGGTGAGGGTCCAGGGAGGGTAGTGAGGTCCGTGAGGAAGGAGTCAGGGAGTCCGTTAGCCTCCTCTCCTCTTGGCCAGTCTCCTCCCGGGAAGCCAGGTTCCACAGGCCTTCCTAGAATGCGGGTGCTCATTTTCCTCCCCAATCTCCTGAAACCAAGTAAAACAAAGCCTTTACTTCTCGTGTTCTGGAACTCAGTGGGCCAGGCTCTCTCTCATTTACTGTTGACTTAGGAGGAATAGAGATGTGTAGTTCTAGAAGGGAGACCTGCTTCAGTGCTTTCTTAAAATTCTTTGCAGTCTTTTAGGGCTGAGAAGCTATACTTGATTGGCAGTGCTTTACTTAAAGATGCAATCATATACTATTTCCAAAAAGTAATTCCAAAAATGCTCTGGAGATGGATGGTGGTGGTGGTTGCACAACCACCATGTGCCAAATTTTATGTTAAGCATATTTTCCCATACTACCGATATCATTTAGAAAAAGATTCTCACATTCCCAGTCTTCCTTCCTTCCTTCCTTCCTTCCTTCCTTCCACCAGGGATTGAACCCAGGGGCACTTAACCACTGAACCACATCCCCAGTCCCCCTCCCCCTTTAAATTTAGAGTCAGGGTCTCACTGAGTTGCTTAGGGCTTCACTAAATTGCTGAGGCTGTCTTTGAACCTCTGATCCTCCTGCTGCAGCCTCCCAAGCCGCTGGGATTATAGGCACACGTGTGTCACCATGCCCGGCTAAGTTCCCATTTTTAATTTTTTTTAAGAGTACTTTTTCAAAGTCAAACTGCTTCTATGATCGAAGCTTGGTTAATAAAGTTTCTGACAGGGCTTATTTTCTAGGTAGATGACAGAAAGCCCCAGGTAGACTCAAAATGTCACCTACTGGTGTCTGGTTTTGTGGGTATTAAGCAATGAGAATGTAGGGGTAGAAAGAGCCCATGGGATCGGTGGGTTTTGAAATTTAGAAATGACTCTTGGGTTGAATCAGGAAGTAGTGCATGAGTAAGGAGAG